ATTGGAAAAGGCACAACTAATATGTAGACAGATGCAAACCCGCTTTCGTCAGGTGCTACATCTACAGAGATGTATCTTTCATCACAGAGTGCTTAGAGAGCTGGCATCAAGAGGTCTTTGGTAACTAATGGGACTACATAGAGTTCCTGCTTTGTTTTGGCTTGACAGCAAAATGTGAAACTGGTGTGTTTTCACCAGTTGTGTGTATCCAAGGTAAGAATTATGTCAACAGCCCAATTTCCACATCACACTAAGTTTGTTCAGCCCAGTAATCTCCTTTCCAAGTTGCAAATGCTGTTTTAGGATTTCTGTTTGTCTTTCCTGTCTCTGCTTCCAGTTTTGTGTTCCTTACTTTGTAGTGCATAAGGCTCGTACTTAAATTTTAGGAATGAGTTAATGAAGTACCAGAATATTACAATTTTGTGCCATTAAATATCTCCAAGTTGTGAAGATGCAATAATGACATTATTTTCTTCGTTTGTCTTCTGGGCAAGCGTTTCTAACGGATACTCGTACTGATCCAGTATTTCTCTAGAATTTCATCACTGTTGGACTAAGTTTCTGTAATGCTGTGATGTATTTCTTAGCTCAGCCAAATTAGAGAGTACCAAGGATATCTGCGGGGCAATTGCACAGGATGGAAAGGAGGAGTAAGTATATTCACTGATGTTGAGAGCTGTAAAGTCCTCTTTCTGTTTTTGACGCACCACTTAAAGAATGCTTCCAGGAGTTTGTAGCTAGCTCATGAGTCCTCGCAGAGGAAAGAACAAGCCCTAGGAACATAGTCTGTTAAAATATTTCTGCTGAGATTGTTTGAAACTTACCTTCCTAGAGAGATTGATTGGAAATACAATTTTACAGTACTATTGCAGTAAAAATTGGCTTCAAGTGGAATTTTGATAGCGTGTTTCTTTCTGTTCAGACATGAACGAAAGACAGGGTATCACTTGAAATAAGTCTGTCTTTCAAGACTACCTGAGGCATCAGAGCCAAGTTCTCCATTAGGACACCCCCAGGATCTTCTCCACATAGCTTTATTAAAAGGAGCAACAGTATTGTAGAAAGAATACAGGGAGAAACTGGAAAATCAAACCAGTTATTCCTAAGTAACGGAGGCCTAACTTCAGAGTTTTCTTCTACAGTTTAGATGCCAATGAGAGGGGGAAGAGGTCTGCTTTACTTCAGTAGTAGTTTTTAACACATTCCTTTTGTTTTAGAGAGGTACTGCAGTCACACTGTTCTCTAAATTTAAAGAAAAACCTGTGTATTTGTGACAACCATTAATAATTTCTTAAGTAGAATTTTAAGAAGTCACAAATTCTGTTCCTTAGAGGAAAAGCTAGCTCTTGTAGTCTTCCAGTTATTTAAAAGATTAAAATGCAGACAAGTAGTCTTGCAAAGCTAGAACTGTAGATACAACTGTTAAAATGCAACAAAGCTATCAGATTATTTTAAAGCATGATAGTCTTGGTATAATTAAATTCCAGTGATGCAAGTTCCAGTTGATGTGTTCTTAACTAGTAAATTTCATCAGTGTTCTGTTACCAGTGCAGTAAAATTAATTATCAACTGCAGACCCCCTCATGTAAATGAGAAACAGGCTTGCTATGGTACATGCACATAGATTGCTGTAGTGACAAAGTCTTGGATAATTACTGTGTGATGGAACAGAAGTGCTGTCTTTATGGGCCAGAACAGTATTTCTAAATTTGCATTAAGGACGGACACACTCAACTATTCCCTCTCTAAGGTTTTACTTTAAATTGAAATCTTAACTGCAGTATAGACTTCATTGTGATTTAAGCTGGAACTATTCAGGATCCATAGAGTTTGTCGAGCTGGTCTGTACGCAGCCTTCTATTTGACATCTAAGCTGAACTGACATGTGGTCCTCCAGGGGAAACTAAGTCACCAATACCCAGATTGAACCATCTGTCATTCTTTGTTCTAAAGTTCTAAAGTTCTTCAGTGGATTTTACTGAATGGGAGAGAGATTTAAGGTAAATGCAAGTTCAGTTGCAGGGTCAGCAAGAATGGGCAGGATTATGTATTATGGTGTGCTCTCTAGGAGTCAGAATTCTGAGTTCATGTCAGAATTGCTGTACAAAGTGGAAAATAATGGAAAGGAGAGTCTGAGGATGTGCTTCCACATAAAGCACAGGGTTTGAGATAGGGTGCTTTTTAAAAAAAAATATGCTGTAGTTCAAAAGAAAACCCTGATTAATTCAAACCAGATGATCATAATGATTTTTTTATATTGTTGTACTGAGACAGACTCAACAAGTAAAACTTTTGACAGGTAACTGCAGTACAGTGGCACTCAGAAATGTTCGCCATTCCTCAGGCAAAAATCTCTAAGTGTGTAAAAGAGTCCTGGAATATGGTGTTATCAGTCCCGAGTACTTGATGCCATGACCAAATCCCAGTCTGTTGTATCAAGGCAAATTTTATACAGTAGAATAAAACAGTGCCAACCTTTGGTGTCAGATTTTGTAGATGATGCCATAGCAACCCTTCATTAAGAAAAAAAAGTTTCACTTCCAGGTAGCAGAGCAGCACGCAGGAAAGTGACAGCCTTGTGGTTTGGGATGACAATAGTTATTTGTTTTGTACTTTGCAGTGAGAAACAGATGTGTATATAGATCTGTACTGTAGCGTGTTCCTAATTTAGCATTTAAAACTACAGGTTGTGAGTCACTGTCTTTTCCTGTAGGTTAGTTCTGCAGACTAGCATTTGTTCATTTTGCGCTTCCTTTAATGTCAACTTCAAAAAATAACTTTGTGTATCTTGTCAAAGTACGTTATGCAAAGGATCAAACTGTGTTTTGCGTGCATTGCCATGCCTCCCTCGTTTAATAAATAAGCCTGACAATTCCGCTACAAATGTTAATCACTGAGGAAGTGATGGCTGTCAGGTACTCTGCTTTTGCTAGGAAGATCTTGTGTCGTGCTTGTTGCCCTTAGTGGATGAAATGACCATATGGATATATCCCTTAACAGAAATTTGTGTCAATCATACAATTACCCAAGCTGCGGCATTATGCATATAACCCTTTACATAAGCAGTTTAGAAAGCAAGGGGATCCACTCTGAACCTCATGACTCAACGGGAGGGTCCTCCTTAGTCTTTGTATCTCTTCCATGAGACGTAAACCATTGACCAAGTCTGAGACTAAGATAGGATCCAGCTGCACCTAGGCTTCATAAGGAGTTTAGAAAGCAGGGGGGTCCACTCTGAACCTCGTGACTCAACGGGAGCGTCCTCCTTTGTGTCTCCAGCCTCTGTGTGGATCATTCTAACTTGATTCTACCTCAGTTTTCCTTTGTATGTTTCTTCCATGAAGTAATTAATAAGGTGAACCTTGCCATCAACTTATAGAACCTTGTCAAACCACTGTAAAACTGTGTTAAATTCCATTGAATTTATTGAACTGTCAAATTATTATTTTACCTCAATAAAACATGCTGATGCTGCTGTCTTCTGAGTGAGGTGCGTTGCACTCATCTGCGACAAGAGGGCATAAAAATTGCAGTTTTCAGCCTTAATCAATCAGGTCTAGCATTTTGTGTCAGCAACGCAGTTTTCCAGTTTCAAGGAACAGTAGAAGTAAACAGGTTTTTTTGTTAAGACTGCCCTGGTGGAGATGCATGCCTTTTCCCAGTGCCACCTTTACAAAACATATCAACCATTTCTTTGGACTTAGAACAGAATGCAGGGAAGTAGCCATGGTTCCTCGAAGCAGTGCTACCCAGGAGGTGAGTGGGAGTGGAAGTGAAATACCCACGTTGACTTAAGTTTATAGTTTGTTGCACTTAAGGCTGAACCAGTTTTCTTGATGCTTTTTCAAGCATCAACTTTTTTTCTGGCTTATTGTCTGGAATCATGTTAGCACTTCTCTCTGCTCTCAGCATTACTGAAGGACATTTTTGCCTGACTCTCTCTAGACCAGTTTGTGTTATGTTCCGGCAGAAATCCACATGGAGCATTTGCAGTGATCCCCCATGGAGGGTCACTGCTTCTAGTGTCTGGTCAGTGATCCGCACGCAGTTTTCCAGTTTGAGTGTCTTGAGGTTTGGGCAGTTCTTGAGAAGCAGCGAGATGCAATCGTCTGTAACATGGCCGCATCCAGAGAGGGTCAGAGATAGCAGGTTTGGACATCTGAAAACATGATTGTTACAGGTGAGATGAGGGGAAAGGTAACAAGAGCTGGAAGAAGCTAGTATTGTCAAGAATACACATGAAAGTTAGAAAAATACCTCCTTTTCCAACAGGAGGGGTAAGAAAGCAGGAGTAGATGGGCACATACATAGATCTTGATGCTCAGCTTTACTTATTGCAGAACTTGCCTTCTTTGCTTTTTCTGTTGGCATAGTGGAGAAGGGGACATGGATGTCTATTTAAGCTGCAGCTGTATTGTTTTTTCCTAAGGAGTTATATCATGCTGCACTTCTCCAGGTGCAGCGAATGAAGACCCAATAGAGATGAGTCGTCAGGATGAATTTCAGGTCAATTCAGTGGAGAGGTTGCTGTGTAGACATGCTGAGCATGGGCAAGTAAGACAATCCCACTCTTGATTTTATGGGGATTAATGGGTGTATTTCAGCTCCTTGGATTTACTGAGTAGGTGCCAGCTACTTCAAATCAGCAAATTAAAAAAGCTTTCTGTTTTGCTGCTTGGGTAGACCTGGGCAAGTACAGAAAATGCCTGTTCCAAGTCAGCGTGTTGATGACTTATTCTGGAGCATCAGACCAGTTATGACTAGCTGCTGGGCTGACCAGGTGTGTTTGCAAGGACCCTTGTGCACCAACCTGCAACGCCTTTTGTACGAAGCGTGCGGTTTCTGGCTTGCAGCTCTGCCCAGGGAGCAGCAGTTCAGCTATCCATCTCTTAGCTAAATGCAGCTTCGTGTTTCTTCATTAGCACAGGACTTGTTTAGGTTCTGTTGTTGCAAGGAAAATGATTACAGCAATGCTAATGTTGACCTTGTGAGACCTTTGGACAGAACTATTGGCCTGCCTCTGTCCTGTAAGAACTGTAAGGTGTCCGTCAGCACTTCCATACAAAGCTTTGTGCTTACAGCCTGTATTGGGGTTTGAGGTGTGCAACAGCAGTGGGGGCAACCAAGGGGCTCTGCCATCACTGCAGCATTTTCTTTTGTCCTTAAAAATGGGTACATTGTCAAGTCCTCTTTCTCTACGCCTGCACCCTATCCCCCTCCTGCTGCTTGATTTCACCTTTTAAGCAGAGGTAATGAAGTGAGATCATGTCAGCTGCATGAGCTTTTTATTCTTTTCCTTTACACTCATGAGCAGTTAGAAAAACAAGTGTTTTAAAGCCGGCAAGGTCAAGAAAGGCTCCAACCTGCCATCTCTTGCCGCTTTGCCAACAGAATAAAAGCACTCCAAACTCAGGGAGAAAAGCTGTGCATTTGTTTCATTTGCATTTGATTTTGCTCAGAATGCTAGGCATTTTGTTTGGATGGAAAAGCTTTCAGTGGGGTGCTGCAAAAAAAGGCAGGAACTTGTCTTAGGAAGGCTAAAAGGGGGGGCGAGTGGCAACATTAAACTGTCATTTCTAAGAGTTCAGTTTAATTTGTGGAAACGAATCCCTGCAGAGCTGAAAGGTATTTGCTGAATTTTTATGGATTTTGAGATTGCTTACTGCCCGGGCTTTGCTTTGAATTTTGTCCAGCAACCAGTTTGGGGTTACAGATTCTGCAGAGGAGAAGGGCGCTTAAATGTTAAACATAAGAGCTGTGGTCTTGTGTCCTCATCCCGAATCCTAATTTGTGATGGCAAAAAAATGGAAATAGTTAAGAGTGACCTCATGGTAGACATTCCAGTGAGAGAGTACTTCCTCCTACAGCCTCCTTTGGAGGCACAGATGTGCTTCCTAATGATACTTTAATTAATCTGAATTTTTTATCAGTCATTCTAGAACAGTTCTGAAATTTTGTACTTGCCACTTAACATTCTGTTTTGAACCTGCATTTCAGTCCTTGTTTTTCTCAAAAAAAAGAAACTGTTGTTTCTCAAAAAAATGTGTTTCTCAAAAAAAAAAGAAACCAGCACTGTTGCTGGTTCTCGCCAAGACACTTCTGTCCTGCATCAGTATCCTGTAATTTTGGGGAGTTTTAAAATTGTTACTTCCTAGTGGAACTTCTTGCCTTCCGTGTTGCGGCACAAAGCTGAGGGCAGGCTACAGCACAAAGGTGTGCCGCTTCCGGATAGGCACTGCCTTGCCCCTTTCAGCTCTCATCTTGCACCACCACCAGCCTTGGTGTTACTGAAACAGTAGTATTGGCTCTACCCCGTCTGCTCCTCCTAATGTCATTTAATTTTTTTTCATAGAGCTGCTTTGTAGCAGAAAAGCTGTAAGAGGAAATGGTGTGTACCCAGAGCCACTTTTCCATAGTGGTATTTCTTTTCCCTTACTGGAGTTTATAAAAAGCTTAGATAAATTTCAGTATAAATTAATACTTGGAATGAAACAAATGCAGTGTTTAGTAACATGTTTAAGGAACTTGGTTTTGTTAGGACATACAGTCACTGTGAAATCACGTCCTTCCTCTAGCCCCTCCCACCAGGACAGTGCTCTGCACTGCCCAGCATGGTACGTTTCAGTTAAGCAGCAATGGAGGAGGGAGTATTGCACTTCATTGTATTAATTATTCATTCTTAAGCCTTTTTTTTTTTTTTAAAGGTAAGTCAATATGAAGTATATGCTATTGCCACTGTAAAAACCCAACTTAACACTCTAATAAAACTGCAAAGCCAAAGCACTCACATACTTAATGCTCCATTTCAGGTAGGATGTATGGAGTAAATAAATAGCTCTCAACTGTCTCTTTTCAAGGCAGTGAAGCTTTCCAGCAGATGTAGTCTCACACCCAAAGAACGTACCTGTTGCAAACTTCTAGTAAAAAATCATTGACAGTGTTTTCATGCCTGCTACAGAAGTCTTTCTGGAAATTGTTTTTCATCCAGTCCTCAATGTTACACACCTTGACTCTCTCGGAATACCAGCAGATGGATAAATACTTTAAAGCAGGTCCCAGGAGAAAATTATCCTTCTTTAGTTCCATCGGAGAATGAAAGTTCAACAAAGACCACAGTAAAGGATCCTGAAACACTTCTAGCAACTTGTGACATGTTTTTGCTAAGCTTTTCCTACTATTTTTGTCCAGAAAAGAGAATAGATGTAAAAGGAAAAAACAGCTGGGTTATATGCATGGCCCGTCAGAGCGTGTCAGAATGCAGTCTCCTCTGGCTTTGTGGAGTAATGGCAGGGCTGGAGGGGGCTCAGAATCCCCAGAAGGCTATTGCACATATATGGTTGTGGAATGGTGTTTATTTTTGGCCAACAGCTGGTGCAGAAGCTAACAGGGAAAGGAAAAGAAACAGGCATGCATGAAGCATGAATGGACGTGTAGAATAGCAGCACTTGACATTCACACAATGCTTCCTTAAAAGGGATTTCTTTCCTTTTAGCCACTGAAGCTTAGCAAAGTTCTTGTGCGGAGTTACTGAACTAGGGGGTAGGGAATGGTGGGCTGTAGCTACAGCTGCAAGGAGGAGCTTTGCGAGCCTCTCACGGCTGGAGGATTTGGCTTTCCCAGTGGAAGTTTGTTTTTGCAGTGTACACTTTCAGCCTTGATTTGTTGATCGATTTGTCTAAAGTTGCGCTTTTGCTTCATGCTCAAGGACTGTTAGCCTGGATAATGAACTTACTTTCAGGAACAGCTTGCTTGTAAAATGAGTTGAACAATTCCCTGGGTGCTTTAAAGCGTCTGTGTGCACACACACACAAAGCCTGCAGCTTCAGTTTACAAGCCTCAGAATTATTTACTTAAGGGCAGTTTCCTGCACACTATTATTTGAATAAACAAAGGTAGCCCCTCCCCACATTTTGCATGAGGCAAGTAATGATACACAGGCAGCCATGCACAGGAACAGCAAGTCTGTGTTTAGCTGCTTTTGTGTTTAGCTGCTATGCTTAGCTTGTGCTTTTAATAGCTGTATTCTATTAGCTTGAGTTTAAGCGTTTTCTTATGTTACATTTTTGTAGGTTTAAGTTCTGCTACTGTTTTGGTGGGAAAAGGATCTATAGAATTGGTTTAGGAATAAAAGTGTGTGTTTTCCAGTAATGAGAGGAAGTGTAGCAGAATGTCCCTCCTGGAAGAAACATAAAGCTACAGCAAATGGCAGATGGAATTAAAAGCAACAAAGAACAACCCTACAACTTTCATGTTTGTGAAACAAAAATGCTTGCGATTAAGGTACTTTATGCCCAGCTTCTGTCTTGGCCTTAATACAGGAAAAAAATAGATTCAACTAATTAGTAGATAGATAGTAACAGCAAAACAGCACTCCTGGAATTTCTGAAATGGTTTGCATGTTTTTAGTAGCTGAGAGATTTTATGTACCTGTGTATTTTAATTGGGTTTGTTTCAATATATGACAGGGGAGAGTAGGACCAAAGTCCATCTTTTCCTTCTTACCCTGAGAATGCAGTTTGAATTCAACTCTGAAAAACAAGATTTGAAATCAGTTTGCCGTCTGCAAGAGTTATTTGAGCTGCTTATCTGTGCTTGAGTAATGTGTGGGTGCCTACATCCAGCGACTCAAAAAATGGCAAATGCAGATCTGTTTAATTCTTTAGCATTAGTAATTTTCTATTATATACTATTAGATAAGTATATATAAGTATATATTATATAAGTATATTATATTCTATTATATAAGCTGTGCTTAACAATTGCCAGTCTTTTCGGAGAAGGAGATTCCTGCTTCCCCCCCATGCTCAGAAACAGGCTGTGGATACTGGCATGAGTACTTTTATGAAGCCACAAAAGGGACAAGAAGAGTAGATGATTTCATGTACCAGGTAAGCCAGCCACTGGAGAACAGCAGCTGACATGGTGTGCCAACAGTTCTCATACTGGTATTTTCAACTCTCACTCTGTCCCTTCATCCTTTTCAGAATTTACCCTCATTTCTGAGCAGGTTTAAGTAGTCTAGACTGCTCAGAGTTGTAATAAACACAGGAATATTTATTAAAAAACCAGCAAACAAGCAAACTTTGAATGACAAGGTTAAAATTGCTAGGATGGCCTCTTTAACCACACACTCCACAATCTGACACGAAAATGAACAGCTGTTGGGTGACAAGGCCCTTTAAAATTGAACAGCAGGTCCTTCTTGGGTTTAGATGCTAAGTTGTGGTACGGGTGTTAAATAGCGGGAACACTTCAACTTGCTTTATTTTGTTTTCCCCAAAACAAGTTAAAATGCTCTGCCACCAGTGTTCAAAAGATTTAGACTAGCAATATTCTGCATGCCTGTAGAAGGACAAGAGGAGTTTAATTTTCTAAGGAAAGGAGAAACTTTAATGGCACATTTTCCATAAACACACAATGTGAATGAGATATAGTTCACATTCAACCTGGAAATGCTCTAGAAACACACAAGATGAGCACAGTCAGTAATCCTCATGGAAAATTACACGCTAGATTTTAATGGTAAACAATTACAACTATGGCACTACAGTACTTGAGGATATCCTAAAGCACACTGGAATTGGTTTTCAAGGTGCTGGTTACCTCATCAGTAAGACACAGACACATCAGTAATGAAATGCCGGGGAAGCTTTTGAACTCCATGTGTTATGTTATGTTTTCTATTGATTTAGCAAAATCCTTGTAACTGGCCTCCTGCTTTTGATGCAAGGCCACTGTCCCTGCCTGCCTGGAAGTTCTACGCTCTCTTCTCAGGCTGACATCTGCTGCCACCTGGCAAGCACCTTCTGAGAAGGAGCTCCCCATGTAAATGCGTGCCTTAGAGCTTGGCACGCTGCTGCACTTCACAGCGCACTGTGCCACACACTACAGCAGGAGTATTCCAAGAGCTGGACATTTTGCAGTTTTGTTTTACATAGATGTCACCTCCAGTTGTATACATGGCTGAACAATTACTAACAAAATGACAACCTTTGATCAGACAAATTTTGGTGAAAAATATGCAAGTCTTTGAACTGTAGAAAGCAGTTGTGGCTTGCACAGCAGTCACAAGCAAGAAAAAAATTCTTGCCAGTTAGTGTGTACTATGGTCAGCAGTAAGTAGAAAAGAAACATTTGGCTTAAATGAAATGAGATATACCACCCCACCCCCCAAGCTAGTAGATAAATATAGGATATACAAGTAAGGCTAAAAATGCGATACTAGGCCTGGTGCAGTATATGTTACTGGTTCAGTGCTCAGTTACTACTTTTTTTTTTTTTTTTTTTTTTGACACCACACTGACTAGAATACAGTGGATAAGCAAAGTTCTCCACCAGGAAGAGAAATACTTGTGTTGCCACAACAAACTGTCCATCTGGGTTTGCAGCAGGAGAAAGTTAAATTAGGAAACGATTTACAAGGTACTTGTTCCAGCAAAGCATATGGCTGAGTCCTGATCACCACCTGCTCCAAGAACAAGGCTGACGTGATTGCATTGTGTTCCCATGGCCGTGTCTCAAAATGGACCATGCTGGATACCATTGCCCAAGACCTTAATGTCACTGAAAGGAAATACTGAAATGAGAATATAACTCTGACCCAAAAAATAAACTGGAGAAGTAGAAGCGGCTTAAGGTAAGTGAATGTTACTGAAGATTACAAATTTAAGTTTCAAAAAATACAAAAAGGCACATTTACATCACTGGTTTGCGAGCGCACTGCATATACCTGACTACTGTCAGTAGAACTGCTGCAGGCCAGAGCTAGTTGTGCATTTCAAGCTCTATATTCTCAAAACTAAAATTCTAAAGCAATCCAGTCCAAGTAGCATGCAGATAAAACGCAGCTAGAGATGGACTCTACTTAACTCCCGCACTAACTGTGAGCAGTGAGGCTGCCCTTCAGGGTAATAATGTGGTCAAGGTACCTCACCTGCCCCGCACGCCAATGAAGTCTGGCCAATACCTTTTTCTGCCTGCATAAGTGAGAACAGCTACCTATTCCCATTAGAAGAAAGGCTCTTCCTGCAAGAAACAGAGAAATGGTAGATGACAAACTATCTACAATTTAAAGCAAAGCAATCAATAGTTCTATTTATTGTTCAACAACTTCTATAAGGATGTCTTCTTTTACTTATGTCAATTATCAAATAATACGTACAATAGGTTTTAACTAGTGCACACTTTATACATTCATACACCATTAGCAATGCCAAATGCTTTCTGCAGTTTTATATTAAGCCAATTTCTCTCTTTTCCTGGTTTAAGATCTGTGAAAAAGCTATGATGAATGACATTTTTAAAAACATCTGATTGTGATTTCTCTTCATACTTGTCAGCATACAGCTAGCAGGTAACCCCCGGCAAGGAAGAGCGATGCGTACTCCATGTGCACCAGGCTGAGCTGCAACTCAAAAGGGTAATCAGGTTTTACTTGAGTTCTGGTGTTTTCAGACTCCTATATTTTACTGTTACCACAAATAAAAGGTGGTGTTTGTGTGACTCCACACTTAGTAAATTCTACTCTTACTACTTTTGAGATTTTAGGAGTGCTCTGTTTCTTGCTAGGCACATGGGGGCTAGCTAGAAAGGAGGGGCTGCAGAAAGAGAACTGAAATGTAGCATTTGTCAGATTTCAGCTCTTTTTGGTCCTCCTGGCTTTTGCAAGAGTGGTCTTCCTGTCCACCTTTTCAAAATCCCATTAGCTGACCTCCACTCTCCAACACGGCAGTACAGCTAAAATTCATCTAGAGATGACAAATAAAGATCCCACACCAGGCCAACACGCAAATATCCCAGCTACCTGAGTGTGCTCCAGGCAGCGAGCAGTCTGGCTCATCAGCGCCCATCAGGCAGGTTATGCTGTGAAACGGAGCGTCCTCCCGTTTGCGTTTGACCTGGTAAAACAATTGCCATGCGGAGTATCTGGCACACCATCCCCCTCCTTCCAGTTTTAAGTGAACTGCAGGCATTTAATGGACAGGAACCATATTTAGACCTAAGACTGTTCTCACTAAGCCCAAACTTTGGGGCTGTACTCCCACTTCCCCCCAGGAAGGAGGGCTGGGGTCCCACTGCCAGGAAGTCTCCAAGTTTTCAAGCAAGTAAGTGTTCATGATCAAATTCCAGGATGACGGCCTAAAACAAGAGACATCTAAGGCAATTCAGGTTTGGTTAAAAAAACATAAATCTCAACGCAATTTAGACATGTATGTATTTTAAGATAATTTTTGTAAATTTGCAGGGGGGAGGGCAGAGCATACGTGAGGAATACTTGAATTAAACTGCAGTATAGATACAACAGAACCAACTGTTTATTTACAATGATTCCTGAAAGTCAGCAGCCTGAATACACACCAATATAGCAGCAATTACCTGGTCTATTTAATGATGCCACATCTCCTCTCTTCTGCAGACAAAGAATGATTTTTCGGAGGTCACTGTTTAGTTTCTTGCACGAGGGAAAATAGTACGTGCAAACATTTCCTTGATTTAGAGAGATTAAATCCTATCTACCAACAGCTGCGAGAACAGCATGAAGTTGTATTGCTCTTCATAATCAGAAGCACATTTATCTTGCCTGTAAGGAGGATAGAAAGCTTCTCTGATGTAAATGTGCCTTTAGAAAGTGAGAACTGAAACATTAATATAAAAAAGTCAAATAACTAAAAGTATTTCATGAAGCTATATATATAAAAATTGAGTTATCACAACTAAAGCAGCAAATCAAAATCTGCTGAGGTTTTCTGGTATAACTAAAAAAAAAAGTTAGTTTGTGTCCAAGTTCAGTAAGTCAAATGCTACCATTGACACAACAAAACTAAAACCCACAAGAGGAAATTGAAAAGTGCACAATGAAATTAATAGTCTTGGATCAAGTATTTATGGAAAAATGGAAATGTTTTGTCCGGTGAACTCTTAAGTAAGCATTAAAAGGAGGTATTAAAGTTTATCTGATCCAGATTTGGCTTGCCGTTCCACATAGAAGAGGATGTAGGCCTTGGCCTTTACCACAGTCTCCTCGTCGGTCAAAGTTACAGTACTGTCGTTGAAATGGAACCAACGGCCTTCATGAGCTGCGTACGCGGTGTAATGTCCAGAGCCAACGCTGTCAGCGGGGGGGAGGCAGGGAGAAAAAGGACAATCAGAAGGAGACAGACCACCGCATTCCCCGATGCACTTTCTATTAGGGCTAAGAGACTTCCAGGAACCAGAGGAAGAAAGCAACTGCCAGTCCCCCATAGGAGTTGGTAAGAAGCTTCCCTTCTCAACCTGTGGGGCTCAAGTTTTGTGTTAATAAAATAATCACTTACTGGGATGAGCTTGAAGGATTTTTTTTTTATATGGACTTACTAGCATCCCATAGTTTTTGTGCAAGCAAGGCTTCTTGCAACGCTGAGCTTCCATGTTTGCCTACATAAAAATCAAGTCCATTATCTGTCATTAATCAAGCATTAGCTATAACAATTTCACTATGCTCTATTTTCAGAAGGCTTCCCCATTTAGGTCTAGAGAGACTCACGTAGGCTAAATATAATCAAAAGCACTCACAGCAAAACTAGTCCCAGAACAGAGAGATGAAAATTGATTTCAAGTTCATCTTAAACAGATTTCGTTTCTTAAATCTAACCTACCAGAACTACACACCCACCAACTTTCATTACCCTGCCACCCCAAGATAAGGCCTGCTCACGCTTGCTTACGTGTTAACACGTGTGCAATGTTACCAACCATTTAATTCCTTTCTAATCATGACCAGCTTTCCTTTGCTCTCCACACAGTTCTCCTACAACTTTGAAGCACCAGTCAGCTGCACTGTGGTGCTACAAGGGCTGCCTTTAATAGTCAAAGCTTTCTAAAAGTCCAGACCATTCCTGTAGAGAAGCAAAAGGAGGGGCTTTCTGGACAGAACTTTTTGTTTTGTAGCTTTGAATTAATTAAATTCAGGTATCAGCAAGGTTTTGATTAATGGGGTTTAGTTTCTTTCACTGCTCACATCCAGAGAGGGAGTTCCTAACTGACAAGAACATGTTTCTCTTAGGACAGAGTTGTCTTGTCCCCACTACTGTTACTCTCAACAGATCCATCCAGGGCTGGGAAAAGGAAAAAACAAAACACACCCAGCAACTTCACTTCGAAACATGAACACTAGCCAGCCTTGCGACATGCTTATTAGCATTTGCTTTGAAGCTCACTCCTGTAGGAGAGGCAGTAAATACAGGATAATTGCTTTCTCTGGGCCAATTGTAACTCTACATTTGTTCCAAACACACACACACACTCTTTTGGCATAAATGCACATGCACTTTTTCAAAGTGAAGGGCGGGGGGGGACACACACCATTTTGGCTTTGTACTAAGAATCTCAAAACGAGGCGGTAAGTTCTGGAAGGCCCCTCGATTCACTCTGTTGTTGTAGGGCTTTCCACTCCTAGAGGAACAAGACTATTTTCATTGTGTCTTACGCTTTTAGTCATTACCCCAAAGACTGCCAGTGCGCATTCACAGCAGTAACTGTACATTACAGCTCTAGCTGAAGTTCATTCAGCCTGGTTCCATGTAAGTATGTATGTAAGTTACTGCTTATTTCCACCATAAAAATACAGACATTCACCAGGGACAGAAAACCCTTAATTAACCCTGCGTGTACTTCAGCGGGGAGAAGGTCTCTGCCAAGAAGCAGGCTTGTGCCGTGTACTCACCCTGAACCATGATGCACAACAACAGCCGCAAGGTCATACAGGCAGCTTTCTGGGCCACTGTTTTCAGGCTGTGGGTAGAAACAGAAAACTCTTTGGATCTCAAGAGCGCCTACTATAATTTGTAATAAAGACATCTGTCGGGGAACAAATTTCTACAGAAAGCATCGGTGAGTCTTCATACCTCTAACAAGTAGCATTTCATGTCTAGGCCTCGTAAGGGAAACTCAACATACGTATCGACCTTGTTTCTCAGATACGCTGTCCAGTGAAATCGTTTCAAGTGTAAGCATAGCACCTACAGGATTAAAAAAATAAAAAATAAAATAAAGGATGCATTAGAGGAGGAGGCTGAACTTTGTGCTAGACATCTACAGTAGCCTATGGGAGGGACAGGTGCTGGTCTGCTGTCGTTGGAGCCCTCTTTTCCTCTGACATACTGTCACGCTCCTGCTTTTCATGCTTGTACAAACCTTTGGTAGTTTCTGAATCCAGAATTTTTTGGTGGACTTCTGTTTCTTTTTGCATTTGTGACACATATACAGCTCTGTCTCATCAAGCTCTTCCAGGTCTGTAAAACTGCGAAGACAATCTAAAAAAGAACAAGATACAAAAAAACAAAACACACACACACGCCTGATTCAAGATGGCATTGAGTGATTTTTGTAACATGAACTACAACAAATAAATACAGCAATATAAAGAAAATGTGCATACCCACTGCAGTCATTCTAGTTATTATATACATTTCTGCAGCAAAAAGCTGTGTAAATTCTGCATTTTAATACAATAACAATACAATACAATGTTGTAACATGCAGCATTCCCTGTTCCTGAAAACACAGCTGTAAGCAGTTCAAGAGAGAAAAAAGCATTCACAAAGCCTGTTTTTCTAACAAGATTCTGTTCACCATTCAGCACAGCTGGTTTCAAAACTGACTTTCTAACAAGGAATAGTCAACTTTTAAAGGTGATTTGGTTTTGGGTACAAAGTGAACACAGAAACCAAGGGGGTTTGATTAGTATTTCACAGTCTGCAGCACATAGATGCACAAATCTGTAAAAATTAACATCCTTTAAAACAAGGCCAGCAACGGCACAACTGCCCAACTGTGCAGGATTGTATTTCAGTTGTTTAAAAAGCAGAACACCCAGGAGCCATCCCTACTGTGTGCAAGGGGCAGCTGCTGCTGAACACAGAGCCTTAGCAAAGGCGGCAATGGAAGACTGCAATACATTAGAAATACTCTGACCACAAAGAAAAAACACTGCTGGAATCCTTGTTAGTCTTTAGCACGTCTCAGCCCCAGTTTATCAAAGCAGCATGTCAGTACACAGTGACTGGGGTAAAACCTGCATAGAGTTGGGTTTTTTTGGTACCTTCTACCACAGAATCTCATCAAATAGATGGCATGTGGCACCAAGTCACACCCTAGGTGAAAGCCTGGCTCCTCTGAAGTAGCTACCTGAAGCATATAATACTCTTAGTCCTGGTAATGATTTCATTAGCCAAGCACTCTTACCTCGTAGTGTGCACATTGGTCCATTTTCTTGATTTTTAGTACGTTTATTTCTGAACTGACTTGGAATATCTAGTGAAAGGTCTACAAAAACAAAGACAAAAAAAAATTAGGGCTGAATAAAATGATGCCTAATATTTTCAGGCTAAAACTCTGGTTCAGTCATGTGACATCTAAGTATATCAAGCTTCAGATTTATTCTTCTGCCTTAAGTCACCAGGTATTTTCAAAGCAAGAGGCACCTTACCTAGGAATGGGTCAAACTTTCTAGATTCAGTCCCACATATTAGGCAGTTGACTTCATTTTGAAGAATGCCTCCAAAAATGGCTGTGACAACAGTAGATGCTCCATTTCTAGACAAACCACAACAGAGAGCTGAAGTCAGGATGGTTGGGCATCATTTTCAATACCTGTTACACGTTTACTGCTCACAACTCACCACTACTACGCAGAGTGGTTCTGTCCATGTGTAACAAACAGTGACCGAGTTCACCCACCAGGCATTTCAGTCATCCCAGAACTGTACAGTGCTAGTATTTAGCTGCGAGTACTTTTTGCTTTATCTTATCTTGTACCTGAAGTAAGCGTGAACCGCATATGCTCTAAGCAGATGCTCTAAATGTCAGTGCTGAAAGTACTCTGGTTGATTGCATCTCTAGTGGAGAGCTGATGCTCACAGGGGTACAGTATTTTAACCCTGGAATTGAGGCTGTTTCTCAAACAGAAATTTCTTCCCTATTAGGTAGGTTGAGCATATTTGTGTTTTAATTCTGCACCCTTTGTTACAAGTAATTTTGACTTCTTGAAGCTTCACTTCACTTCCAAAGACAGCTTAGGTTCCATTAAGGTACGATAAACAATATGCATCGCTATCATCCTTCTCTGTGCTTTCATTACTCTCCATCTTTTCAGCAGATTATGTAATGGACCCAAAAAACCCAAAACACTTTGAAGTTTTATATATATACACACACAACTTTAAACTTTCTAGTCTGTGCTCACAGATCTGACAACACAGGCCTTATCTGCACCCCCCCCCTACAACTTCACGGTTAATTTGAACGCTTCTTGTTGAGAAGGAAACGGCTACCCACACAAACCGGCCCTCAAGAAGAGAGCATTCACAGCATATTTATTACCTTACTGTAGGCTGAAGTGTACGTGACTTTAATCTGCTGACAATTTAAACCTACAAATACTTGGCCATCTTTTTTGCTCCTCTGTCATTCAGACCATCTGTCCCCCAGAGACAAGACTGTCTGAACAAAGACTTCGATATGGGTAGAAACTAAAAAATACGAACTTCTTTCAGGAATAAAGACTAATGAATTAAAATGTGTTTACAGCTGAGCCTGTATGCTCACTCACACCTGTGACAAATGACGATCCTTCTGAAAGGAAGCACATCCTACAGGACGCTAACCCTTTATAACCTGCAGCTTTGTAATCTGTAACATTACAGAGGCACTAAAGAGAACAAACAAGGAACCATGCATTTGAAATTTCAGATCCACCACACGCAGACCCACACAAAGGCATTAAGGGTTTGAAGAAATTAAAAAAAAACAAACCACTTCTTACATGCAACATTTGTTGCTTGCAGACAGACTAGAATTTTCTTGCAAGATTACCGAACGTGAAACACCATTGAAGCCACCCTGGAGTTCCAGGTGTAGATGGTCCAAAAGGTAACGCATGAACTCATGGGCATCCTGTTGCTGGTATCCCCTTAAGAGAAAAAGGAAACAACAGTGACAAAAATCACCAAGTATACAGGTCGCTTTAGTGCTGACAGCGCACTGGGGTCACATGAAAGAAACTTTCCTTGTTTAATAATACTGAGCAGACTTGACCAAGGAGAGACGTATTTTGTACCAAAAAAGTCTTCCAAGCAGCCTTTAGAAAGGTACAGCTATGTCAAAACAAAGCAATTCTGGTCCTTCGCAGCTCTCCCTGAGCATCTCTTTTTGAGGACGGAGAAACATTTAAGAATATTCATTTTAGACAGGAAGAGACCTTTTAGAAAACAACAGGGAGCAGACGAGGCGTAACATTTGCTTGTGTATTCAGTTAACATTAATTGGCATCACCAAACTCAGCCTGTGCTAGTAACATCCTAGGACATACATATGTTAATTAAAAATATACAGTGATAGCAGTAACTTCCCCTCACTCAGACAAAGTATTTTTTTTTTTTTTTTTTTTTTTTTTTTTAAATTAGTGGCTAAATTTGATTACTACAGCTGCGGAATTGCTGAGTCAGGTTTAGGCAGCACACCATTCACCCCTACTTTGAAACTACCATGAATTTTGCTTAATATATTGACATTTCAAACCTGGTAAGATTCAAAAGAAAGACACCACAAAATGTATCGTTCAAATTTAACAAACAACTGCTATTCATTTGCTGTAAGATGCATATGGGGATAAAGTTGGAAAGCATATGCAGTGAAACAGTGAAAGCTTTGTGCAACACTGACATAATTATGTGCAGGTCTTTGTAGGCCTAGTTACAAAAATCCCTACACAGTAGAGCTGGCTTTCCCTCTTGCCCTTGGCCATTCTTTTAAGCTGCCTTATCATGCCTCCCCGACCCCTTTTCCTCCTCACCGGTCCACGTAAGTATTGGCAGTAACTGACACCTAGGAATGTCTGGGAAAGAACAAGAGATGTTTCTTATGCTACTGCTCAGGGGAGGGACAAATGTAAGTAAGTCTGAGGACAGATTCAGTGCAACAGAAGTACGCAAGGTGAGGCTTGATGCTTAGTGAAGAACACCAGTAAGTCCTACAAAAGTATTGCTAGGAGGTAACAAAATAAAAATGAAATAAAGCCTTTTCATCTTGTAGAATTACAGTAATGTTTTCTTCCAAACTAGCAGCTTTAAATGAAATGGCTGAAGCTTGTGTGTAGATCTTGCGGCACCCTGAAAAACATCAGCAGCACTACCTACCTTTTTCAATGGCAAAACTGGCACAGAGGAACACTGCTGTGCTTCAACAGGCCAGAGTCCCATACAGGCCACAACAGGACTTACTCTCCCAGAATAAGTTGCAGAATAATTGTACATTACTATGAAACAAGGTAGTAAAACAGAACTCGGCTTCAAAGCTGCATGTTAACTGTGCACACTGTAGGTAATTTTGAAGTTGCTGAGATAATGCAGGATTTGCTTAGTTTACTGAATACAGATACTTCAATGTAATAAACACAATCATAATAAGCAGATGAAGATGAAATTTACAGAAAGTATTTGCTTCAGACACCTTTTCAACATTAAATCCCTCATAAAAGAGCTCTGAAGTATATGGCACCCTTGTTCTGCAAAAAATTTGATTAAATAACCTTTGGAATCTTTCCACACTGTTGGTTGTGCTCCTAGTGCATGTGTTTATACTTGCATACAAATATGTTACTTACAGATGAAAGGCTCTTTGGATTTGTTAAAAAGTGTAAGATCTTTAAAAGAACATGATGATATGGATGACGCAGTGGTTAAAATAAATGATGATCTAAAAGCCCGCCAGCAAAAGCGCAGTTTTTCTGACAGTCAGCCTGTGTAATACAAAACTGATCTCCAGCCAGCTGAAGCAATTCAATTCAAGCCCACGTCTGATGTTCCCTTTCCTACTGGCAACAAGATAGGCTAGACATAAGAACAGTTACTAGCACACCCGAGCACACTATTTATACAGCAGTAAGTCGGCAAAATACACACCTTGCAACACAGCAAGATTTTTGATACAATTAAGCACTGAACAAATCCAAATTTTCTCCCTGGATCACATGGGAGTGAGGAATCCACTGAGCAGCTGACCCTATTCTCCATGTGATTTAATGAGTTCTCTTATCAGTTAATCATGGACATGTTCCCAGCTAACTGGGAATGGAATAAAAAGGGGAGGGCGAGAGCCCCAAGAAACAGCACTTTTTCTTTTAAAAGCTGTGATAGAACCCACAGTGCTGAAAATCTGCTCGAGGAACTTCAATGAACTGCTTTCTCACTTAAGTCTAACAAGAATTATAGCAAAGACTGCAATAGGGAAACCAGTCAAGGACATTATGGATGATGTTTGTTTGCCTCTAATGTTTTGGTCGCTGCTTGCAACTACTGGTATTAAACTTCCTTGATTCTCATAAGCCAAGTGAAACGTATTTGGCAGTGTGAAGAACAGAATAAATAGATCTGTGTTATTCAGGTTGCTCACTGAGCAGATGTGTTCACAGCATCTTTTCAGCACTGCTGGAGATGTAACAGATTACTACTACCTGAGAACACGGAGCAACTTACCTTCATCACAATATATCCTAACAGGTTTCAGTGCTCCTTTGAAAGAGGTTCGGGGGCCAGGACAGGGAGACCTTGGAGAGGAATGATACTTCGATTTACTTGGGTAACCTTCTTTTTCCCCCCCCCCTTTTTTTTTTTTTTTTTTTTTTTTTTTAAGTACTGTCTTTTTTGTCAGTATGGGCACAAAGCACCTATTATGCAGACCTATGTTTTTATAACAGCCCTTATTTCATGTCCAGCTGGTGACTACAGTATTTTGAGAGAATCAAGGAAGTTTCAGCCAGTAAGTTTGCATTTAGGCCTGTAGGTACTGTACTTTTTTTGACCTGACTACATCACTTGGCACTTACCTACCAGTCATTACCTTGGTTCTTCTGCCCTTTGGAGCACTGTCTTAAAGCTACAACTACCACTGGTTTAGTATCCGAGATCTTTGTCCTCTCCTGCACTGCCACAGGTAGCATGTAGTAGAAGTGTAGGGGAAAAAAGCACTACCGATGAGCACAAAACTGTCGATCAAAGCGAAGATCCTTTGCAAAGCATGTTTGTGGGCATATGGGAAAGCTGCAGAGTGCATCCCACTGATTCAGCACATTTTAGAGTAGAACACCAGCAATACAAGGTTACAATCAAGAATACTGTTCTTATTCTACAAAACTTACCTAAAATTTGGCATGATTTTCCAAACAACGTAAAACAAAGACTCTGGACTAAATGCAGTTTGGCTTCCTTGCCATAAAGCACAGAGTGTCTTTCTGAATTCTTCCACCAATGAACTGGAAAGACAGTAAAAGCTGGTGATTAATACGGGGGGGTGTTATAACCCTTATAGGTTTATTAGCTCAATCGTACAAATATCAGACATTACTGTGGTTAAGATTGTAATGATTGGGTAAATATCCTTTCCAGTACTTCAAAGATTTTATGTCCAAAATCCTATCCGTAATGCTGGAGGAGATGCAGGTTAGGAAAATTACATTTCAGATGTTGAGGACTCGCCTGGAAATCTATCCACCTTTTGCCATTTTTCTGTAGACTCTGCTAACATCTTCCCTTCAATGCTTGCTCAAACAAGCTATGCATTGTGAATCATTTACTCTGGTTTTTTTTTTTTTCCCCCAGTATGTTCACTTGCAGACATACCCCCAAGACCATATTTTAGCTATAATTAAGTAATGTAATGTCTGGGGTACATAACTAGTACTACTTAACCTTACTGTAAATGCAGTTACGCTCCAGTGCTTTCTGATGTATCTGGCTGCTTCCCCCTGCAGCACCACACCTATATAAGCAAACTGTAAGCAATACAAGTTTCTTTTTTTGTATAGCCAACTGTTCTTCTACAACTCTGTCCCCCCATAAAACATTTTTCTATGATTGTGCAACACTGAAAGTGTATAGTGGCTCCACTACCCAAGTATTTGCTGTTTTCCATAAGGTTCAGTGCTAACAAGGAACATGCAGCTTACACATTATTATCCCCCTGGCTCCTGGTATGGTAAGTTCGCCTGCCTGCCGTCTTCCCATTCCTCAGCTCCACAGCAGGCAACTCTTTGAAGTAACAGCAAAACTGTTGAATGTTACTATGGAAAAAGGAAAAATGATTTAAATCCTTAAAGGGCAGAGGAAAAAAAAGAGAGTATTATGTATTCTGGAGCCTGTTCCTTGAAATGCATAACAACTCCATGCAGTGACAGAGGATGGCAATCACAAACAGTTCAAGATTACAAGAAATACTGTAGCAAATACTCCTCTTCTGTAAATGACTGAGCAGATCTGTAAATATTATAATCATCATCCCAATTACCTGAAATAATTACATTTTGACTATGAGATACCATGACAGATGGAGGTATCAGGAGGCATTCCCTAACAAACCAGACTGCATCTGCTGAGGAGGTTACCTCCATGGCTTCTGCCACCTATCAACCCTAACCTCTGCTGCCACAGTCCCAGCAATGGAATGCAAGAAGCATGTGCCTTAACTCCTGCCAGTGAACCCTGACTGATGGAAAAGAAAATGGAGGCTGATTAGTACTGCTGTAGCCCAACTCAGTGAATACTCAGTGAAAATACTCCCAGTGAAATAGGCAAATTCAGAAATACAAAAGGGCAATTACAGAGCAGCAGTGGTCCTGGCAGCAATCAAATGAGGTCTAACATCTCAGCACTACAGAAACTGTTCTACACGCTTCCATGAGACCCATCCCTCACAGCGCTGTCTCTGCTTTCACAGCGACTGTAATCATCCTCAGCAATGAAAGGGCAGCTTCCTTTTCTGCTGAAGAGACAGCAGGCTTCCTCTGGAACGCTGCATCACAAGAAGTCCCTCACACTGCAGAACACAACTTTATGGTACTTGCACACACCCGTTCCTGCAAACCCAGGTACATCTTTGTGCAGCGGTGACTTGCCAAATTCCCTCACCTAATGCTACAGCACACAACCACTCTCACAGGGAAAGCTTCGGGGGTACCTGAGCGACTGAAGGATTGCATTCATGAAACACGTATTCCCCAGGTTCCGAAGGCCTGTGGCACAAAGGGCAGTGGTGCTTCCCTGGAAACGACAACGGTTAAGTTAAAGACAGACTCATCATTGCTCCCCAACTTGCTCCCCGCACAGCCGTTACTGTTGCATCAGCATAGATTTAAACAATAATAAACAACACTGTTTCAAAAGTGCAGTGTCAAAGCAACCACCTCACCAGCTCAAACTGCCTTGAAGCTCCATCTTTACATGAAACCTGTTTCTTACTCATTCCTGTCAACAGAAAACTATACTACATCTTTTCCTGTGCAAATAAATCCAGAATAGGGCAACACAGGGTTAATCACAGGCTTTTACTGCAAAGTATTTGTGTATATATATGTTAAATATTCACACTCCAGTAATGTTCAGTGAGAACTGGACAACGATTTCCCTGAAACGAAACAATGAAAATACCGACCCTTATCCATCTTGTCCCATGTCTAATATGCACAGCGTGGCAGCCTGCAGGTTGTTTTTAAGTCACCAGCACTAGTCTGCTGTCTTGGTGGGGTTTTGGGGTGGCCAGGAAGGGTTTTGAAAAACAGACAACAGCATTTATTTGAGAAAGAAACAGTCAGCTTAGACTGTGCAAAGAAAAAGCAATGTGCTGAATGAAGAGAAGCAAAACATACACCGTTTACAGCCTAGGAGTTTCAACAGGTTGGAGCACAATGTTACCTACAGATGAGCTCGCTTTTTGCCAAATAATCTTCAGGGTGGGCTGGGAGGAGAGGAAAGAAATGTGGACAGTGTTGCATTTATGATTTCTAGAATCCACAACACTTGGACACATTCCATTATCTACAAAATATCACATTGAAAGTTCATCAAATTTTGGGGCATTCTTCATTGTTCTAGCAGAATTTAAAAGCTAGACTATTTCAGTAGTAGTATCTCAAAATGAACGTATTACTTCACACTACACGCAAATCCAGGTTACCAAACACGTATTCAGGTGTTCCAATAAACTTTTTTTCCCTCCCCAAATCTACTACAAACATAATCTCTGGTGAAGAACTAATGGCAGCAGGATATTTGTGTATATGTTGTTAAAAAAAAAAAAGAAGTAGTATTATTTAAATAAGCAATTTACCAATTCAGTAAGAACTGTTTAAAGAGAGACGTGTTTTCCAATAAAGGAAGAAAACACTTAAGTACAACCACCACAGTGTCCTTAGCATATTCTTTTCTCGCTCTTGCACAGGGTGAGACAGCAGGGTATTAATGCAAGCAGCAGTGCCCCATCTTTTCTAGAGGGGGATCCAATGTGCCAACAATAAAAAGATCATCTGTTACCATGGGCAAGTATTAATAAAGCTAAGAAAACAGCACAGACCTTATAAGAAGAATAAAAGCAGCATCAAGTTCATGCTTTCTAATTCTGTCTTCTCTGTATCTAAATATTGCCTGAAGAATTTTCCTTCTGGTTTTTACTGGCTTTGAGTTTTCCAGACAATTATGCTGCATGTTGCCATAGGGAAAAAACACCCCACTATTTCTCCGAGGCTTACTCAATCACCCCAAGATTGGGACAGTACAGGAAGCATACACAGCACATTCAGCAGACCCTCAATTGACTGTAGGTAGTGCATTTTTAAAGTAACTAAACCCCTACAGACGCTGTAAAACAGAGACTGCTTTGCTCCCACCCCACCCTCTTAGTTCCACTTCTTCTGCCCTCTCAGTATTATTATTCTTCTCTTCGTAATCAGGTAATTGTTCCTCATAGCTCAAGACAGCTACTACTTCAGCTCCCTTGGGCCATGCTGCTGTCCTGCAGCCCCAAGGGCCAAGGAGGAATAGCTCTGCTCTACCAGTCCTTCTGGCCAAGGGTGAAAATGAAGCAGTTGCGTACAGCTGGGTCCGTATCTCCCCCCTCCCTCCCTAAAATCCGGGAGAAATTAAAAGGTTAGAAACTCCCTCAGGCCAAACTGTGGAAAACAGAGACATTTGGTTTGGGGCATTCTTTGTCTGGAAGAAACTATGTAGCCCTTCAGCTATCTAGCAAGGGCTGGATCATCCTCTCCTGGGTGCTATTCTGCAGATGTGAAGTTAAAATAGCAGAAAGATGAGAGATGATGGTGGAAAATGCTTTCAGAACAGTCCACAGTTCCTTCTGAAAGCAACTTTTACTAAGCTCTTTTAAAACTTTGTTAACTTTTTAAAATTTTTCCTAACAGTTACTCTCTTATCCCATTTGAAAAAGACAGTGTACCTGCTTCTCTGCCTTCGGCACTGTAAAAAACAAAAACCAACCAACCAAGACAAAACCCCCTTGTCTGCTCAAAGTCCAATGTCTAGCCCTAATAGGTACGAGCTCCATCCAATTTCGCTGATCCCACCAAGCTCAAACTACCCTGAAGCTCCACCTCAACACGAAACCCCTCTTAAGAACAGGGAAGCTCAAAGTCTAGGTCAAGAGAAACGCAGCAGTATAGCAAACATTCTTTTGTGAGAAGGGGTTCTTCTAGCTGTGCGGTCAAGAGATGAGAAAGACAAAGTGCACCAAGCAGAATTTGGGTAACTGACTGGAAGTATTTCAAGTCTAGGCCAACTAGAGGCCTCAACAGGCTTAGAAAAAAACCTTAAACTCACTGTACCAGATCCGTTGTACTTACATTTACTTTTAATAGTTTGCTGTTCAGAGATGAGTTTTCCAATAGTTTTCTTTTCCTATGTCTGTCTGACGTAAAGGCTGAACTGTTGGAAAGTAATTAAAAGAGGTTACTTACTATAAAAACAAATATTGTGTGAAATGGACAACAAATAATCACCCTAATTAACACAGTGATTACAGCTGCCATCTGTTGTCATTAAGACAGCAGAGAGCTTCCTGATTGCAACATATGCTTTTCAAAGTCTTAAAACAGACTGCATCTCCCTCAGAGTACAGATGCACATCCTATTTTCAACACTAATGTCTGAGTTAGTTGCATTAAGTTATGCATGCTACAGTATGCTCCCTGCAGAGTGGCCTTATTAGCATGCTACTTCTCATCTAAAATATTGATCTTTTTTCCTTAATCAAAGGAATACTTAACACAGACCTTTCCATGAAATACTTCTGTCAGAAGAATCATCCAAGCCTTTAGAAAGACAACTTCCAAAAATTCAGGCCAAAGTAAAGTTACCAAAAATCAAAAGTATCTCCAGTGCTAGCACTTATGTATTATAGCTGATTTCTCCTACTTAAATAAAAATATATGAGGTCATAACATTTGTGTAATACAAATACAAAGTTAGAAGATCAATTAAGTTATTCTTTTCCACATCACGGCCCCTCAATTCTACCAGTTTATGACTTCTCTCTAACCTAATAGCAAAATCATAGCTTTTTCCAGACGACTTTTTTTTTTGTGGGGTGGGGGAGTAGGAGGATGAGAAGGAGG